GGAGACGGGGACATGAAAGGAGTCAGACGAGCAACGGGCGAAGCATTGAGCTTTGTGGGCGCACGACGGATCTGCCAGCCGCGCGAGCCCCGCCGTCGCTTCCGAGAGAACATCACGCGCTGCCCGCGACCAAAAGGGCGGCTTCTCCCCACTGCTCCTGCTTCTCCTGCTCCTCCTGCTCCTCTCGTCCTGCTCCTCCTGCTTCTCCTGCTGCTCCTCCTCCTCCTCCTCCTCATCCTCCTCCTCCTTCTCTCCCTCTCGTCCCCCCTCCGCCTCCTTCTCTTCCTTCGCTTTCTCCTACTCCCCTCCCCTCACCTCCCTTGCCGCTCCCCCCCCTTCCTCCTCCAACTCCTCTGCTGCCCCCTGCCGTCCAACCTTGGCTTCCAAAGTGGAATCTTTGGAGGCAGGCCAACCCATCGTCCAGCATCCAATACCCCAGGAGCCCCACCCCCTCCAACCACGGGCGGGCTCCGCCGGGCTTCCGCGGTCAATCGCGCAGTCCGCAGGGCAGCGAGGAGTCCCACGTTGGTCCCCCGGACCCCCTCGCGTCGTGAAGACGTCACGGCGGACGGCTTTCTGTTGTGTTCGGCCTCGGGGGGCCCTCGCAGGGCCCTGGGATCGTCAAGCAACGACTCGGGAGGAAAAACCGGTCCCGGGGAACGGGTCGAGGCTTCTGGGGTCGGGGGCGGCAAAGAGGGGGGTGATGACTAGGGGGGGGGGTGGATATCATGGCGTGGGCCATGATATTTCCTCAGATTTCATGGCGCCTCTTCTTATTCCATTACGTCCCTGGCCCCCCCGCTGGGCCGCGCACATGCCGCCAGTCATGATTTGCACCCCCCCCCTTTTGGACACCCCCCTCTTGGCCGATCCCGATGGGGGTCGACGTGGTGAACAAAATCATGACGTCGAGGGTCCGGGCCTCCTGCGCCACACTTTCATTTGGGGGGAATTGCGGTCACGAGCTTCTGCTTCGCGTGCCGCGTCGCCGACTCCTGCCCACCACTCTTCGGCGCGGCCTGCCGACCAAGTCCAGGTCCCGGAGCGTCCGCGTCCCGAGCTTCTCCCAGCCGCCCGCCTCGCAGGGCGGAGCGACCTCGGTTTGCAGGGCATCGCGTGTCCGAGAGGCCGCCGCCGCGACGAGCGTTAGGCAAGCGCTCCCGACCGCAGTGTGAGTCCTGAGAAGAAGGAAGGCTCGCAGAAGCCGACGGACCTTTGCCGACGGAAGCCTGCGGGAACTCGATGGGAGCCGACGGAAGTGAAGGCAGAGCACCCGGGAGAGGTGGACGCCAGCGCAAGGTCCCTGACACTGGCCAGGTGGCTCTGCGGGGGGCCTGCAGTCACTGCACTGGGGGCTTTTTGGGCTCCCTTCGAGGGATTCTTGGGGGCTTGTTGGAGCGTCTTGGGACCTTGGCATTTTGAGGCCGTTCGCGTCTTCCAGACCTCCTTCTTGGGCCATCCTAGGGTGCATCTTCGGCATCCTGGAGGCGTCGGAGGTGGCTTTGGAGGCTCCGAAGGCGCCGGAGGTGCGTTGACGAGCTCGTCCACCCCCCTACCCCCCCTCCGCTCAAATTGGAGTTTGGACCCCAGGGCAGGGGGAAAGAGGGAGGGGAACAGCCAAATGTCTCACACGCACTTTCACCCCTGGCAGTCGGGGGTCGGCAGGTTTTCTTCAGGAGCTGGGTGAGCGTGGCGCGGTTTCGCCTGCTGGGCTTCCTGATTCCTGGGCGCCTCGCGCGGGTGCAAGGAATGAGGTGCAGTCGCTGACTCAAGGCGTGGACGCTCTTTGCTGTTGTGCGCGGCCCACCGCTCTGCTATGATGGGACGTGGCCTCGGTGCTACAACACCCCTCGAAATCAAGCGCGATATTATTGTTATTGGTATTATGATCATCATGATGATGATTATTATGATTCTTTTTATTATTATTATTATAATTCTTAGTATTCTTCTTCTTCTTCTTATTATTATTATTATTATTTCATGTTGGCCGACGCGCGAGAGGCGGCCCACGGGGTCAGGTTTTGGTGTCTGCAGTTGCCCATGTCCGCGCGAGCACGGAAACTTTGGGGTCCCGGGGCGCCGCCGCGCCGCGGGGGAAAGACCTGCGTCTGACTCCGATGGGGGGCGATGTTCTGCGCTCTCCGCGCTCCGTGGGCGCCTCGTCCGATCGCCTCGTGGGCGCCTCGTGCCGGTGTCGGCGCGCGGGGGCCGTTTTTCGCCCCGCGAGCGCCTGCGGTGCGCTCCTCGCGGGCGCCTCCGTGCGCTGGGTGGGTGTGCCAGGGCTCCGCTCGGTGGGCAGCCGCGTGCGTCATGCAGTGGCGACGCGTCCCGGCTCGCCTATAGCCCTACCGAACCATGTTCTGAGAACCTCTTGTGGTTTCCACGAGACGTTCTTAGAACATGTCTGGCGGAGGCTGTATTGTTTTATCACATCGGGTTGATGTTCTAAGAACATTGTTTTTGTTCTTAGAACATTTTGGGGTTCTAAGGACATTTCGTGGTAGGACTATAGGAATGCCGGGACGGTCGGTCCCTGCTCAAGTGCGGCTCGTGGGCGCTCCGCGCGCCAGTTTGCACGACGTGGCTCGTCGCGTACGAGCAGCCCACATAGTAATGATGGGCAACCTTCCCAAGGGTGCCCTCGCATCCTTGCCCCTTCGGCCCATCCTCAGCGACTGTCGTTGGCCAGCCTCGTTCGAAAGACGTTCACATGGGCCAAGGCCCTTGCATTGCATCCTTACCGCGCATCCCTAGGATGCGGGTTGGCTGTATGAGGAAGAGCAGGCTCTGACCCTCTAGGAGGCTGGCGTGTCAGCGCTCCCCCTCCGCGCAGCGCTTTCACATCGATGACGCACGGCTCTCCAGCCTATCTTTGAGTGAGGCTCTTCGACCTCTGGGCGCCCCTGCCAGAGAATACTAGGTGGAGCGCTCACTCTGATCTTGCACGTGTGTCTCAACCATTCCGCCGCATCGAAGACTCGGGCCACACGCGTGCGCACACATGTCAGCACTATCTCTTGGTTCCGCCAAGCAGGGTTGCCCAGGCGTCTGCGCGCGCGTACTCGCAGAAGCCATCCGAGAACAACCAGGCATTGTGTAAGTCGCTGAACATAATACATTCGGCCACGCGTGTGCGCATCGATTTCATGCCACAATCGTCGTGCGCCCGCCAACCCTGGGCCACGCGCGCGCTCCCGCGCGCGCAGGTGGCCTTCCTCCCTGTCAGAGCAGACTTGTGCGGACCACCGCGCACTTCTCGAGCTGTGGAACGCATGAGAATGTCCCGCGCCCGCCCTGTCAAATGATGCCATGCGGGCCACCCGCGCGTGCCCTCCTCCTCCTCCCTCCTCCTCCTCCTCCTCCTCCTCCTCCCCCTCCTCCTCCCCCTCCTTCTCCTCCTCCTCCTCCTTCCTCCCCTCCTCCTCCTCTTCCTCCTCCTCGTCCTCCTAAGAACCAGTGCTCTCCCGAGCGAAATCGATTCGACATGTCCCCAGCCACCATCGTCGCCCGCCCACCTGACTCATGGATCTGCATGCAAAAGGGTCTGCACGTTTGTGCGCCTGTTGAGGCCTGCAGAATTGCGACTTTTGACTGCACTTGCGGACCCTCCGCTCTTGTCGGACAAGTGCGGCCAGGTGGGTGGAACGTTTGCTTGAGCATCGGAATGACGACTTCAAGCTCTTCGTATTGATTGGAACTCGCGGCTTTCACCGCATATGATGCATCATTTTAGCATACACCACGTAGATTACACCACATGGCTTGAACTACATATCATCACGGACCACGTAGAGTGAACCACATAGCTTGGACCACCGATCACACATCCGCAGAGCAGCAACTCACTGATTTGGGTCCACGCGTACAATCATATCGGGAAAACGGCACCAATGCATCATTGCAACCTTTTCCAGTGGCGCCAGGGTTGTCCCAGGCGAGTCTCTCTGGCTCGAGGTAGAGTGAAGCAAGGTCCGTGGCCATTCGGGCACAAGTTACTCTGCGTGCCCCGAGACGTGTGAGGTCTGGCCGAAGAGTGCAGCGCTGTGCCTGCCAACATGTCGCGAACAACCACCGAGCCAGGTACTGGGGTGTCGAGTGAGTTCGCGTGTTTTGCACCCCCGTTTGACCGCATCGTTGAGTTTCAGGTCGCTCCGTTGTGTGACGCGCCGAGCGCACATGTTGCAGGGTGTGCCTCCCGTGCCTGGCGCTCGAAGTTTCATGATATTCGCCTGTGGCTAGAATTCGCCTGGCGTGAGTGCACTATGCACGGCCGCGCCTTGGCTCCGGGTGCAGAGGCCGCCCTGGAGGCGCGCGACTTGGCGGCGGCAGTGCGTATCTGCAGGTCAGCCCTGCGCAGGCGCATGCTGGTGGTGGGCCAGCACCATGCAGAGAGAGCGTTGCTGCATGCTCGCCCAGTTGCGGCACAGGAGGTGCACCAAGCCCATCGGGCCCCCCAGCTGGAGACCAGGTTTCTGCTGATCAACGATACAGGCGCGGATGTCTTCTGTCATTGGGTTGCGAGCAGCGGCGTTGATGGCGAATCCGGCGAGATTCTCGTTCGTGATGGGGATCGCGTCCCTCCAACTTCGCCTGACACGCGGCGCAACGAGCAGGGCGTGCCACAAGGACGTTTCGAATGGGGCACCAGGGGCCACTTCTATCATACAAGTTCTCTATCTCATGCTTTTGCCATTTGCAAGGAGCGGGGTGGACCACCAATCGTCTTGTACCAGCAGCGCCGTGCTTTCCTTCGGTATAGTTTGCGCCCCCCCACAACCATTCAGCATGTTCATGCTATCCGGATTCTTTCACTGGAGAGTCCGCCTGTCGTCCAAGAGCTTTTTGTGAATGAAGTTGTTACACACATGTACGGCCATCCTAACATGCATTATGAAATATTTGACGTTAGCATGCGGACGGGAAATGCGCGTCCAGGCGGTGGTATCTTCGCCGAGCAGCTTATGGGCGTGCATGTGCCTTTGCAGCCCCATTGGCCC